CCCTACCTTTCTTTTTGATTCTTCTTATTTCATCCCTTGTTAATATAAGATGGTTGCTTATGTAGAGGAATTCGTTAGATAATTCAATTTTAATTCCTGATAACCCAATTTCCACAAAAAAAAAAGAAGCACGAAAAACCTCACTGCAACAAGTACTGTCTATTAAGCTTCGGGCAACGACTAAAAATCAATTTTATCGTTCATTTTTACAGATAGCATTAATATTTGGCTGTATTATAATTAATCCTATTCAATTTATAATACCACTAATACTACAGCTGTTTTATCATTACAACCTTTATTACGGCGTTTATAAGAATCGTAAGATCAAAATTATGAATTTTCGTAAGAAATCGTAAAGTCAAAATTACCAGAATTATGAGTCGTAAGATTAAATCGCAAGATAAAATCGTAAGATCAAAATCGTAAGATTATTCAAATGTGGTTCATTTAAAATTCTATTTTTATTTGTAAAAGCGACATACCTCCTTTCAACGTCCATTTTACCACTCCACTATGAGGCTCCACTGCTCGAAGAGAACCATCGATGGTGGACAGGAAGACTACATCATCGACAGCGACGGGAGTACGATTATGAATTACCTGAAAGGAGAAACACAGCAATTTTTTTAAATTAACACAAATTTTAAAAATTTCCAGATTCAAATTTAATTTTTTTGAAATTTAAAAAATTAAATTTAAATTTTTAAACTTCATTGATAACCAAATCTCACACTGTCATCATTATGCCTCTTCTTCCCGTCTGTACTATATTAAAGGTTAAAGGGAAATATCAGAAGAAGAAAACAATGAAAAGGACTATATCTCACCATCGTGGCAGTGTTCGAGATGCTCAAAACACATCAGTGGCACCCCAAAATCGATAAAACCCTACCAAAATGCTTCTGCCATAACTGTTGATGTGGTAATCCCTTCAGGAGACGAAAAGAGCATCAAGACCGGTAAAGCACCGGTCTCGCACCGGTCTAATGGGCAAAAAAAAAACAGCACCGGTCAAAGAAACTGGGAAATTTGCAAGATGCACAGAACAGAGGACGAAGCAGTGAAATACAGATGGCAGAAGTATCATGATCCTTTTTTATCTCCTCAACATAAGTGAGGGGAACTGAGGCCACTATAAAGGCGGTGTTTTGACTGTCGATTTATCTAATTCAGGGTTAGAGAAAAAAAATATGAGCAAAAAACGACGAGAAGGTTATGAAGAATTATTTAAGTAGGTAAGAAATGTTTCGGTTCATTAAGTTATCTAAAAATGGCACTAAAAAAAGGGGCGCACTGTACTCCTATCAATTGTATTTCACCAATTCGTCCTCCACCTATGAAGTTTGCAAAATTTCCAGCTTCTCTGACCAGTGCTGCATTTTTTTTTTTCGAATTTTATCACACTTTCCCCATTTTTGCTTCCTGGGTCATCCTGGATGCTACATTTGGCTTATCTCCACCATAGGAAAAACCTATTTAATTCTACGAGAACCGTTTTTTTCATGTGATGTTGGAATCTAGAAAGGGAACAGAGGCCAGGCATACTAAACCTCAAGCTAATTTGGAATGCCATGGCGCGAAATTTAGGCGACGAATGTG